CCACTCCATGACAAAACAACATTCATCTCTGTATGCCTTTCGACGGCGAAAAGCTCACTTGTACCGTTAGTGACAAAAACGGTCACGTGTGTGCCCCCACATGCGGCCTGCCGTCCACACACTCTCTCGATTATTGTAACGGGGCACGCTCTTGCTCAGATAACTGAGCAATGCCTTGTATTGAAAACACTACAAGGGTGCTAACGCCCGACGTCACGTACACGTGGCGTGAGGAAGCGCGACCAAGACAACACAGAACCCGAAAGATCTGTCTTGAGGGAAAAGTAGAACTCTTACATAATATAGTTCTTGTCTTACTAAATCACCTTTCGTCTTAAATTGGTCATACTAAACTACTGTCTCCTATGTGTATCTTCTGTCCACCACCCATTGCGCGCGTCCAGCAGCGATTGGTAGTAAATTTGGTTGATCCACACGGTGCATCAACCAAGAAGTGGACTCCCCAACGGATATTACCTTTAGAGGTAATATTCCGACAACATCGCTTTTCTCGAATGCTATTAGTTGAATGTTAAAAAAATTAAAAAATATTCAAAATTGGTACTTTCGTACCAATTTTTATGTAACGGGCTCACCTCATCCTCGATCGCTATCGCTCCTTTTCCACCGCGTCGACACGTGCACCTCTTCGTGGTTTACAGCCTCTCGCCCTGTCACGTGTTACGCTCTGCAGCTGCTCGTGCTCAATGTCTGCGTTCGAAACCGCCGACGTCGGCGTTGCGCTCCTTCGATGCATTGGCATCTACTGCGTACGATTTACCGAACCCGTCGATCTATTGCTGCAGAAAGACGAGCTCTTCGTTGAGTAATTGGCTGACCTATTGCTCACATGCCTCAAAGGAATCGACAACAAAAAGTTGTGTCGTTGTTCCTACCGCAGCGTCTACGATGACGAGCAGCTGCGGTGCGGAACACGGCGCATTTCTTGAGGCGTCACGCGATTTAAAATCTGTACGGGGGCGGGGGGGGTTAGGGGGGGGTGTTTGTTGTGGGTTCGGGGGAGGGAAGTTTAAAAAAAAAAAAATGTTTTTGTTTGTGATCTTTATTTTTTGTGGGTGTTTGTTTTTTTTTTTTTTTTCTGTGGGTCTTTTTTATCTCTTTTTTTTTTTCCCCGCAGCGGCGGAGCGAGAAACAGGGGGAGGAATATGTTTCCAAGAGAGGGTGTTGTGGGGAAGGGATCAGCAGGGAGGGCAGGAGAGAGCGCGCTTGTGCCTGTAGTGGGACTGCGCGTTAATCAGTTGGGACGGCCGGTCACGACGAACTGATGGGACAGGTCAGTGATTGACCGAAGGTCTAGCGAGGTTCATGGAGCGAGGGATCGTGCACCGCGTCTGATCTGAGTGTTCGGGATGTATATGAGCGGATATATCGAAATGCGTGTTGCTATGGGCAAGGACAGCATACTCACTTCGTATCGGACAAAAATCGCGGTGATCTGTCCCGCTGAAGCCGCCCAAGTCTTCGTGCCATCTCGCTCGCAAAAGCACTAGAGTCGTCTATATGCTGTCCGAGCTTACCCGGGTCTAGACGTGTTGCGCCGCGGCATGCACAACTTTCTGGTCGAGCTGAGCTACCGTCATGTGTGGATCTGGGATCCCTAGATGGCATCAGAGAGGGCTACACGGCCGTTTATCAAGTCGCGTGCACGTGAATGGACGAGTCAAGTGAGACTCTGTCGTGATGCCACAGGGCGACGGCATCGACGTTTCAGAGCGATTGTCAGCGGATCAAGTGCGAAGTGCGCCTGCACGCGAAGCAAGAGCTGGTGCATATCGGGATGTAGCGCTGATCGGTGTCACGCGAACACCGCGCGAGGGTTCAACGAGTCGGCATTCTGGAACGCAATGGATCGATGGAGATCAGCGCTGCCCTGGTGACTGAACAAGGGCTCTCGAAAGTTCGGACGACACTTGGCGATTGATAAATCTTGATGCGAGTCAGGCTGGCTCGCACCTTATGTTTTTTTTGCTGGCTTTACAGATGACGCTGACGTGACAGCTGAGTCCAGCGTCTTTTTGTTTCGAGCGCATGCCGACGACAGCTCGTCATTGGTATCAGCCGATCGCCGCGGTGATGTGTTTAGGTCGCGGAATGGGTAAGGAGACGCCAGGCATCAACAGCAGCTGCGTGAGCGTTGCGAGACTAGCGGTTTGTAAATATGAAGCTGGATTGCTTCACCTCCCCAGGTCTCTCGTCTTCAGTAGCGAGGGGGGTACCAGATGCATCTGGCGCTGCCTGCGCGTTCATGTGCGTGCAGAAACACTGGATGAAGGGGACCAAAGCGCAACGCCCATTCATTATCGTCCGTATCGTCCGAGTGGTACTCATTCGCTTCCAGAGTGAACCTCACGCACCACCAACACCCGTTCTGCACGTAGTTGTTGGATGGCAATATGGAGCGTATGTATCGATAGGTAGGAGAGGGTCTGTGCTACACGTGAGGCATACGGCGACGAGTCGGCGAGTGACTCGAGTCATGTAAAGTGGAATGCGCTGGTCAGTAGCAGTAGCACGTAAACTCCGGTGCTGTCAGTCGCAGCTATGCCTTACGCAAGCAGACGTCCTCCAGTGACTCGACCTCGCTCAACTGTGCCACCTAAAGGGGACGACATAAACGTTTGATCACGTGACTGTATCAATTGCGTGACCCAATGGAGAGGCTACCGACAGCATCAGAGGGTCGTGCTTCTGTCTACGTGTGAAGCGCTTGCGTATCCAACGCGCGAGGGTGCCTCGTTTCCATTTTATTTCAGCGTGTGAGCTCCAGACAGTGACAATACTGTAGCCGCCCGAGATAGCAGCAGCAATGGAGTGGTTGACAGTGTAAATAGTGGGGAGAATCCACGTGCAATATTCAACTCGGCCATCTCTCAGCACGTTCGCATGGCTGTGTAGCATGTCACAGAAAGTGTCACATTGCGCTGGATTGTTGCCAATCGCGACATTGTAAGAGCTCGCGTGGGCTGTGCATGCGAAAGCTTTGGTCTCCTATCTACACTGGAAACCCCACAGCAGGAAAGACGTGCCTGGCGAAAGCACACCGCGATGAGAAAGAGGAAAGAAGGATAGGGTGAAGCGGTATTGAAGCTCAAATGCAAACAAAAGGTATTTCGCATAGCCCGCAGATTGATGACGGAGAGTTGCCCCGCCATATGTGATTGAGGAAACGATCGCCCAGCATCGGGATACCTCAGGGTATGTGGTCGCTTTTACATACGGACGATCAGAGCAGACAGGGCTGCGAGAAAACTTCTCCCCCTAGTTTGTTGTTCTCCATGGTGTTGTTGCGTCTGTTAGGTCGTCAAATCCGGCGTCCATCGACCTCTTTGCATTTCTGCTGAATCATGGTAACGAGCCATTGGTTGTTGCCAAGATGAGCGACAGAGCAGTACAGGAGACGATCACCAAAGAAAGTCAATCATTTACGCACTGCTAAACGCACACCAGACACTATCGTGAATGACAGTATACGTTGTCGGGATGACAGCAGTGCTGTGGGTGTTTCGCACGGTATGTTAAGGTAGCGGAGAGCTCCGTGAGCTGCCCGGTGGCTTTCCCCGAACACGTCGAACACGGAGCAGGTATCACGTCGGACGTTGATCTTGTTCGCCGACTACGCCCAACTGCGACGAAGGCTGCACTCTTTGTGAGCCTAAAGGTGTTATTGTCTCCGTCTGCCTTACGAACCTCTTTCACTGTCTCCAGCCTGCGACGACACTCATCCTCTTCGAGACAAACCAGAAAGCTCAGGAAGCGACAATCAATTGCAAATAGCACGCAGCTGTGTCAGCCCACCATCGTGCAGCTATAGCTTATTGTACTTCTCCTCCTTAATCTCCTATACGTAATCGTCATTCCTAGCCATCATCGCCGCACTAAAAACAGGATCATAAGCAACCATTTCCGCTAAGATCAAGGCAATATACGATGCTTGTGGTCAGGATATCGGTGCAGGAAACTACCGAACAGCGCGTGGCATTTGTTGAGTTGCCGACCTCCGCATGCCCTTCGCAATCGATCGCTTCGGCAATAGTTGCAGCAAAGCGCTGTTCGAATGCCGACGAATCAATCGTCTGACACATGAAAACGACAAGCTTGAGGCCATTCTTCCTTGCGACAAGGCATCGTCAATCGAACGGTAGGTTTGTCCTTCATATTTGCATAAACCTCCGCTATGCTATCGAAACAGCCAGCTGCTTTTCATATCGACTGCTGGAGGGAGCACGGACATGTCGCTCGAACCCTCGTTTCTGTGCAGTCCCACAGATTTGTGCACAACAGCTCAAGCCCGCCCTTGCTCTGTATGACCCATCACGAAAGGAGGCGTACTAGAGACACTGGCTCACCAGTGCTTGAAAACCTTCTGTTCCAGAAGCAGACGAGCTGTGGAACCACTTCCGGTCGCGCGATCAGATCTTCTTTCCCGTAGGCAGCTCTTTGTACAAACAGACAGTCTGTGGAGTGGTGACGCGCGCGCTACACTTGGCAGACTCGGCGCTCTTTTTGGCCCTGTGACACGTTGAGCTTAGCTTTTACGGTCAGTTGTTGGCAACACTCACAGCAAGCAGGTCTCGGGATCTCGCAAATGGCACAACGCGCTCGTAGAGTTGTAAACTGCAACGTGCATCGTGGAAGAGACTGAGCATTGAGCTGGTGTCGCCGTCGTCAAAGCCGTTTTAAGCTTCTTCAGATTCGACCTGTGGAATCCGATAGCAAAGTGAGCAAAGGTCGAAGAGCTCCACGCGCGTGCTGCTCCGCAAGTCTCACTTTACAATTTGACAGCTCCCCCCACCACCACCTCTCACCGCCACCTCCACCGCTGCCAGCACTACCACCTCCACTTTCACCGCTGCCAGCACTACCACAGCCACCACCACCGTCGCTGCCACCACCGCCACCTCCACCGCTGCCAGTACTACCACCGTATCACGGTCACCCCACCACTTGCGCACGGCGTTTTCGACTGGACCAACTAGACCATGCGTCTGGCCTACTCAACCGCTGCCGTTCTCGTCGCTGTTTTCGCTTCCAGTCATGCGATGCCGACTGGTGTCAATGCGAACGCTCTTCCCGAGTCCGACGTCTCTCCTGTGGCCCGCGTGACGGACGGCGGTGCCTACGACGCGGATACGCAGAGGCTTCTGCGGGAGTCTTTTGACGACGATGATTCGGCGCTGGATCTGAACCCTGAGGAGAGAATCGACTCTACACGTATATCCGAAGCAGCGGCGCCGATCACGGAAAAGATCGCTTCAAAAGGCTGGCGTTTGGGCGCGGCGGACGCGTGGGCAGGGCAACAGGTCTTCAACTCGCACGCTCTTCAGTTTGCCAAGACGAACTACAAGCGCCTGTCAAAGCCGCTCGAGTGGTGGTATAAGTTTTATAATTGGTTGCTCAAGAACCCTCTCTCTAATAGGCTCCTAAAACCGCTTAAGGATCACAAGGTCGACGGTAAAACGCTCCGTGACCACTACCATGAAGCTTACTTGAAGTACGAGGAAATCTACTCGGCACAGAAGCGCATCGATGAGTGGGGTACGGAGTACATCGGCACAGCCCCGAAAGACTTGGAGGCGGCCCTGAAAAAAGTGGCCGGAAGTGAGCAGTATAAATTGATCGAGACCAATGTCAATGCCGTCGTCAAGGACCTCAACAAACTCAAGTTCTACCGCCTGCAGCAATTCGAACAAGTGGACGCTTGGACTGTGTTTAAATTGGCGTGGACGAAGTTCGAAGCGGGGCGCAACAAATTCAACGAGGACGTCCGTAAAGCGAGTGAGGATTTCCAGAAAGTGAGCAAGAGCGAGGACGTCGCTGAATTCAAGACGATATTTACAGAGCTTGCTCAACGTCTCGCAAAGATAGACGAAGGCGATTTCCTGAAAATTGCACGGGTGAAAAAACCCGAGGCCGCAGCTAGTCCGACGGTAAATCTGCCAGAACCTCTTCCCGGTAGCCCGCTTGGAACACCTGGGACGCCCAAAGACAGCAACCCCAAGGTCGAGTAGGATGCCCTTCGACCGTCCGACCCTGCTTGGCGTTGACACTTGAGCGATGGGTGCGCTGCATTTCTACCATTCGCCCACAGCGCATGCAGCTTCTGGTACGTATTTTCATGTCGAATACATTTGATCGAGGGTTGTCAGACACATGGGTGTCACTTTGGTTTTACGCTCGACTTTCGTCGTGCCGCACTTAGCAATGCTACGACAAAATACATTTCTTTTGACGCTGTCTGTTTGCATAATGCCTAACATAGAAGGAAAACACGGGTTGCATCTCTCTACTTCGCCCAACGTCGCCATGCGTAAACGAGACAAAGTAGGATGTCACTCAAGTGCGGATTATCGGCGTCGTCGGTCGAATGAAGTGTCAGAGCGCACCATATTGCCGAAATGCATTGGTCGTAGTGTCCTGGATAGCACGAGTAAGAAGAGGTAAGCCTGTTGCGTGAAGCAATCGACTGCGCGACCCACTTCGGATGGGATTCAAGGCGGGGGTCGCAACCACGTGCGCAATGCGCCTCCTTCCTTCACTCAAGTAAGGTGGCACTAGACTAAAACTGCTTGTCGCGACAACTTGATGTACAACACACAGCTCAGGTTACATGACTCGCGACGTTGTTGACGTGGCAAAACTAGTAACTTATCGCGATGCAAAATGTTTCTTACGGCAGTGCATCGAGTTACTGTAGAGTCTTTGGTATTGCTCGGAACTTCGCAACATCAGACTCTGTGGCTGGTCTTCCTGGATGATCACGGACCCGACCATTCTCACAGGCCGCGTGTTCTTGTCCACCACAATGCTGCAGCTCAAGTTACAGCTTCTTTGTTACACGTAATTTACCTTTTCCTTCGTACCACACGCCACCACTGCAATGTAGAGTTGTCACCCGGCCTCCAAACATTAAATACGCCGCGTTCATGCAGCACAAATTCTTTCTTTATACTCGCGCCAAATAACCGCAACGACTCCGTCAGGTCTTCCGCGTCTGCCGCGACTATAGCTAGCACGTGTCGAGTTGATAGGATAGCATGCCGCGAGAAGTCACCTTCAGTCGTTGGCTTGGACTTGTTCTGTCAATGGTACACTGTGGTTGAGCATCCATGGCACACGTACGTGTGCCATTCATCGTACCATCCCTGTAACGGGGCAGCCCGTTACATGGAAATTGTCATTTAAAAGATAATGACAATAAAGAATATTAACGTAAATATTCTTTGTACAATATCACCAATGGTGGTGATATTGATGGGTCGACCAAAGAGTCTGCTCATTGGTTGATATCTTGATGATATCAACCCACCAATCGCCGCAAGACGCGCGCAATGAGTGGTGACGAGACGTCGTCATACTTTCAGTTAGATTGGTATAATTGAGCTAAGTCAAACAGAGAGACAGTGGTTAAAGACTTGATTATATTAATATAACAGTTCTGCTTTTACCTTATCTATGCTTCCTCGTTTGCCTCGTGTACGTCTGTTGGGCGCACATTACTCTTGCGTTAAGTTCACGCAAGGGTGTGCCCCGTTACAATCCCCCAACATCAGTGCCGTTTTATCCATCGAAGATATGTTTCAATTTTTACTTTAATACAGGGCAAAGCCTTAAAATGTAGTAAATTGGCAGGATTCATCTTAGTGTTAAAAAGTGGAAATAAACATCACTTGCACTTTGACCTAATCCGACACGTGCCTTGTTATGGCGTATTTGATTACAAGAGTTGTAATCCCTTGTAACGGGACTACACGTCGACTGGTAGTCGACAATAGGTGTGGTTCACACAAGGGATGGGAACTCCTTTCAAGTAATATTATAACACAAGTATCAGTAGTTGAAGACTGATGTCTGTCAACAATTGATTACGAGATCTTTTAATAGGTTTATTTAGGACATAAGTGAGTAGGTTATTTACTTTGTTCTACGGTTTTCTTTTAGGTTAAAAGAAGAAACAAAATTCAGTTTCCATAATGATCAACAAGAGACACGTGCCTCTCTGAGGCGTTTTGCGATCGTAAGGAAGTAGCAACGCCTTGCTAAGGCAGCTACTCTTCGTGCACTTGGTGCGATTGATTCTTTGAATAGTTTCGTCCGCCTGGAACAGGGACCGTAAGCTCTTTGAGCTTGTGTGACTCTTTGAGTCGGGTTCTTTGAACCACCTTTTTGCTCTCGGAGCTGTTGACTCTTTGAGTCGGGTTCGTAGAACCAAAGTTGCTCGTAAGAGCGTTAAGTCTTCCTCTGACTTAGGGATGGGTGTAGCTCCGCTACACTTGGTAGCACTTGTAGTCGATCTACGCATGAGTCGGTATCATTGATACTCTTTGAGGATATTGCAATCCACACCCCTTTCTGAGTCACAAAAGGTCGCGTTGATAAGCTGACCGCGGCCGTAGGCCTAGAAAATGTAGAGGTTCTAGCTGCACAAGGTCCCGATGTGCTCAATTTACGAGTCGAGACCTTCATGCAGTATAAAATGGCCCTGTTAGGGCAGGTTCAAAACCAAGTAGCGTCGGCTATGCTAACACTCTACGTGGCGATGCCAAATAAAGAGGCTAAGCCTCGTCCCCTTAAGGTGAACGTTAAATATTACTCCGGGAAGGAGGGGGGAAAACCTGACCCTCTGTATCCGTAATATTCAGATGGCCATGAGCTCTGGGCTTATCTCACTGGAGTATCAGCGGATCTCGCTGTCCATCTCCAAGCTCGATGCCAGAGCTAGATAGTGGGCTCTGACGTGTGGCACGTCGGTCGACTTGGCGTTTCCCACTTGGGATTCGCTCAAGGTAGACCTATTGCGAGTTTTCTCGCCGCCTAACCAGGTTTATCGCGTGCGCTCACGCTTCTTGTCTACCCGTCCGGTTAAGAATTAGCTAACGGACCATGTCCAGGAGTTGAGATATCTGATGGCTGCTATGCAGTCTGACCCTCTCTCTGAGACAGTCTATGTGACTGTCTTCATGGAAGGTCTTCGTAATGGCGTTGCCAGGACCGATGTGTTTCTGGCCCATCCCTATACTTTTGGGGAGGCTGTTAGCATCGCTCAAAATGCTAAGCACAACTTCAAGTCGGCCAGACTTGGTTGGAATGGGTACAACCCAAGCTTTGCGAGGGCAACCTCTGCGAGGACCTCGGCTTACTGTTAGCCAGAACCGATGGGTCTCAGCCATGCTGAAGATGAAGGTGAAGCGGAGCTTCGTGTTGCAGAGCAACGACAAGAATTGAGACGCTGTTTTATTTGCGGAAGCACTAAACACTTGAGTCCCACTTGTCCTTTGCATAAGCAACAAACGACTCCTATGGGTCGAAACCCCAGCCACAACCGGAAACCTGGTATGGTACGGGGAAACGTCGGCACTCAGTAGGTGCGGGGCGCCCTACTGGGGTAGAACTGAGTTCTGTTTCTTTTTTACGAGGTAAAGTGAATCAGGTCTTAGCCCCACCGAGCTCTGTGCCCACCAGCACAGAGCGTGGATACAAGCCTGGCTTGTTAGTCGACGAGGCGAAGATTAAAGGCTTTGAGAAGCATTGTTCGATCCTAATCGAATCCGGAGCATCATGCAATTATGCTCGACGTCGTTCCCTTGAGGAAACTCAGCGATACGCTGAAGCGCTCAAAGCGCATGAATGGGATTATACTACCGTTCGTTTAGCGACTGGTAGTCGCGCCACGGTGCCTAAAGTTCCGTTGAACTTAGGTGTGAAGTTTTTGGACTTTGACAGCATTGAACGCTGTCTTGTACTCGATTTGGATTCGAGATATGATCTCATTCTGGGTATGGCTTGGGTTAAACGCCATGAGCCATGGATTGATTGGAGGTCTAAGACCTTAAGCGCCACGCGCAATGTTCAGAGAGAAGCTTTGGAGAGTCTATAGCCCACCTTTGCTAGGCAACAAAAGCGATATCGGCGCGAGCCATTGACGAGAGATGTCAATTTGCTGGACATTGGTATGTCAGAGTTAATTAATTTAATGTCAATGACATCAATATTGAAAGGAGCTCTTTCACCGTATGGGAAGGGAGTTATACTCCGTTGATTGATACTCGTTGTGATACTGAGTCACTGCATGCTGCAGGCATGGTTGACCTAGGGCCGAGACATCAAGAATGTAATTCCTCTGATGTGAGTGGATTGGCACATGAAATTTCACCGAGTGAGGGCGGCCGAGATGGAACCTCACTGAATGTCGGTCATAACATTGTTGGCGAGAAGCTAGAGTTTTACGGGCTAGACCCGGATGCTGTACGTGAAGTGGTACGTGTAAATCCACTGGGTGAAGTGTTCGAGTTACGTAACACCTCACGAGATGTCGTTCAAGACATAATGTCTCGTATAGCCACGGGGACCCTACTTTCCGGGCCACTAGGAGGCTTAATGTTTCTCTGAGGAAACAATCTAAGCGTAGGATGGCAACTGTTAAGCGCCCAACGTCTAAGAAGTCACGAAGTGACAATAGTAATAATACACTTTATACACTAATCAATGAGTTGACTGGCCAGATTGATGGCAGTATTAGTCCTGAGACTCTTCCATCCTTGGATACTATCTTTGAACTAGACGAAATGTCTGACGGCGAATTGTGCCAAGCCTTGCAGGCAGTATAATTGTTCAAGTTAGTGGTCATTCGGTCGGATATTGAGTTGAACTCATCCTCGTTATTGGACGAGTCTGTCCTTGAGGAAACAAAGGCGGCATTGGATGCCCGTAGTGGATCGTCGATCCTTAAGGATCCTCTTGATACGTTCGATCCTTTGGTAAATGAGTTTCAGGACGTGGTGTGTCACAACCCACCGTCCGTCTTATCCTCCCGATAGATGTGTACGTCATGAAATTGACTTGGTTCCTGGAACTAAATACTGCGTAGTTCGGTAGGGGCCTCTATCAAAGTAACAGTGTGACGTCATTGACGACTTCTTTCGCGCAAATCACGCGGCAGGTATGGTACGTGAGAGCAAATCTCCCCATCTCACACCAACCTTCTGTGTCAAAATGCCCGATGGAAAGTGGC